CGGCCCACGTACCTTATGGACGGTCCCAAAGACGCCATTTCCCAGAGGTTTGATTTTGCGGATGTCAGACGGCTTCAGGATCCGGGCGGAGACTTTGGGTCCTTTTTCCCCGGGATCCAGAGGCTCAAATCTCTGAAAAGAAAACAAAATATGGAGTAAAGCGTCAGGATTGGCTCATAGTGTCAGGCTAATGTTGATGCAGAAATATAGAGCTCTCTGGACTCTCTGTCTAATATCTCTACTATCTGTATTTCTGGACTCAGACAGATGTGAAACCTCTATGTGCTCTTTGCCATCGACTAAAAACATTAATATTAAAGAGCAGAGATTGTTCATTCATAAAGCATCCAAAAATACACAATTGGTGAAAAAGTTAATAATAATGCAGCTAAAGCAGAGACACATGGGTCTGAGCCCCTGTGCTAATCGGCATCAATCTAGTGTTGTGCAGCAGCCCTCCTCCTCCACATGTCTTTTTCAAATGCTTTTGTCTTTTGAATTATGTAAAACTACTCTACATATTTACTGGAGGTCCTTTCCCATCATCACTTGTGTCACATGTAAGCAGTCACATTGACTGCTGGAGCTCTGACCTCTCCGTTCTCCATGTATCTCCTCATGGCTCGTTTGCGGCGGATGGCGAGGCCGCGGCGGTACAGCACTGTGAGCAAAAAGACGGAGAAGCTAACGAACAGCAGCGCGATGACTCCCAGGACAACAGCTGTGACGTTCAGACTGCAGAGAGACACAGGTACAATTTACTTAATAGACAGGCAGAGAGGACATAGGTACATTTAAGAACTGCTAGAGCAGTCCATTTACTGCCTTTCTGTTTTTCACTTTTGCTCTTCATAACTTTATTACTTTTTCTGTGTCTGTAGTTTATTTCTATGTATTTTTTTTATGAAGGATCAAATAATTTTAAGTCTAAATAAAAATTGAATAAAATAAATGAATAATGACCTGGCTGCTCCAATACAGTCTTTGAGTCTTGGACCTGAACACCTGCAGAGAACACAAATATAAGTTAGTTTGTCTCCTCTGTCTCCTCGGTCTCCTCTGTCTCCATAGTCTCCTCTGTCTCCTCGGTCTCCTCTGTCTCCATAGTCTCCTCTGTTTCCTCTGTCTCCTCTGTCTCCATAGTCTCCTCTGTCTCCTCTGTCTCCATAGTCTCCTAAGTCTCCTAAGTATCCTCTGTATTCTCAGACTCCTCGGTCTCCTCAATCTCCTTTGTCTCCTCAGTCTCCTCAGTCTCATCAGTCTCATCAGTCTCCTCAGTCTCCTCAGTCTCCTCAGTCTCATCAGTCTCATCAGTCTCCTCAGTCTCCTCAGTCTCCTCAGTCTCATCAGTCTCATCAGTCTCCTCAGTCTCCTCAGTCTCCTCAGTCTCATCAGTCTCATCAGTCTCCTCAGTCTCCTCAGTCTCCTCAGTCTCCTAAGTATCCTCTGTATCCTCAGTCTCCTCAGTATCTTCACTCTCCTCAGTCTCCTAAGTATCCTCTGTATTCTCAGTCTCCTCAGTCTCAGTCTCCTTAGTCTACTCAGTGTCCCCAGTGTCCTCAGTCTCCTCAGTCTCCTAAGTATCCTCTGTATTCTCAGTCTCCTCAGTCTCCTCAGTGTCCCCAGTGTCCTCAGTCTTCTCGGTCTCCTTAGTTTCCTCAGTCTCCTCGATCTCTTCCTGGTCTCACCCCTGGGTGCAGTTGGCATGGCATGGCTCACAGCTGCCTGCTTTGTTGGGGTACTTAAAGATGACCCCCTCTCCGGCCATGAGCCCCTGAGGACACGAGCGGACACAGTGTGGACCGTCCCTCAGTCTGGCACAGGACACGCACTGGTCTGCCCCCTGACAACACATGAGATATACTTTTACACACAATATTAGGGCTGTTCCCTGGACACAGTGCAGCAGGTGGGGTAAAGAAGGGTCCTGGACAAACTAACTTCTATCCTGGACCATGACTGTCACCCCCTGCAGAACACTGTCTGCCCTGGAGAGCAGCTTCAGTGACAGACTAATTCACCCTCGCTGTGTGAAGGAGAGGTTCCGCAGATCATTCCTTTCCTTAGGTTTAATCAATTATTCTGTAAATAAGTAAAATCATGTGCAATGTGCAATACTGCAACTTCAGAATGTCCACTTATCTACTTATTATCCTGCCCTATATGTACAGTATATAACTTATATATTCTATACAGTATTGATATTTTGAAAAGATTGATATTGAAGCATTTACAGCTAGTTAAGAAACAAAGCAGCTACTTATTTTGTACATTTTATGTGCTCCCTGTGTGCTCTTACTACTGTCCTGTATGTGCACTGCAACATTGGCATTTCCCCACAGTGGGACAAATAAAGGATCTCTTATCTTATTTTAAAGACTGATTCCTCCCTGGTCTCTCTGCGGTCTCTCTCTGTTCTCTCTGTTCTCTCTGTGGCCTCTCTGTGGTCTCTATCTGGTCTCTCTTTGGTCCACCACTAGGTGACAGCAGTGCACAAAACAAAGCAGTGGCAACAGAGACAGAAGCAGCAGTAGCCCAGTAGTAGTAGCAGAAGCAGCAGCAGCAGTAGCAGCAGCAGCAGCAGCAGCAGAAGCAGCAGTAGGGGCAGCAGCAGTATCTCACCGGGCCTGTACAGGTCTCCTTCCCCTCCTGTACTTTACACTCTGAGTGACAGAGCAGACACTCTCCAGATGCACTGACAAACTCCCGTCTTTCTCTGCAAACAGGAGAGTTTTCTATTATTTAAACAACTTTTACTAAGGCCTTGATGTATAGAGGTGTGTGTGTGTGTGTGTGTGTGTGTGACTGTGTGTGTGTGTGTTTGTGACTGTGTGTGTGTGTGTGTGACTGTGTGTGACTGTGTGTGTGTGACTGTGTGACTGTGTATAAGTATCTATGTGTCTGACCCGGACAGGGTGGTGCACTGGGATACACAGGTGCCTCCGCGGCTGTAGTTTCGACAGGACACACACTGATCGGGCCCTGGGCCCCAGCAGCCATCAGAACACAGGGGGTCGCACACATGGCCCTCCGCAGCTGCAACACAACAACTACATGAGGATACATCGACTATATGAGGATGCAACAATACTTTTACATTCTATAATAATCTGTGATTGTTCTGTCAGTCTGTTCTTGAGGTTCTGCCTGACTCCAGACTTAAATTCAGCTCTTTGAATAATCAAGAGCTAATCTTCTGGCAAAAGCCATATTCTTCTCTCTGGAAGAACATTTTGGAAGGGCATTTCTAATTGTGTTTATGCATATGACACGTTACCACCCATCTTTTTTTGAGTATGGACTCTCTCTCTGGTCTCTCACTTGTCTCTCTGGTCCTTTGCTGGTCTCTCGCTGGTCTCACTCTGTGGTCTCGCTTTGGTTTCTCTAGTCCCTCTCACTGGTCTCGCTGTTCTCTCTCTAGTCTCTCTCTGGTCTCTCTCAGGTCCCTATCTGGTCTCTTTATGATGTCTCTCTGGGCTATCTGGTCTGCAATTGTATTTCACATCTGTATTTTTTATTGTATTTCACATCTGGCAGGGACCTATGTTTTTTAGCGTATGGATGTGATGGTCATAAAGTCATGTTTGATAGAAAACGGTTACTTCCTGGTTAACACTTTGGGCGGTAGAAGCCGCTTAGCTTGCATGCTAGCTGCCGCGTGCTAACACTGACCACACGTCTGTTGGGGGCAGTTCTCCTTGATGTCGATCTGCTTTTGTCGTTTCTTCACGTTGCTGCTGAAGATCATGCTCCAGTTCACGGTGTGGTGGTAGCACAGGTTCTTGTTGCCGGTGATGTAGACGCTGCCGTCGTTGATCCTCCGCAGAGAGCGCAGCCCCAGAGATGTGAGCGATGGAATTTTCATGACCATCAGAGAGTAGCTCCTGTACAGAGAGAAGTATCCACAGGTCTGAGGGGATCAGTGGTGCATGTACCTATGATACAAAGCAGTAGCTAAAGAAACACTCTATTAGGCTCTCAAACCGGTCTACATCTGGGGCCTTAAGCTTTTTGTGGTAATGCCAATTTTCTCTGGTCTTTCTCTCTGGTCTCTCTCCCTGCATCTCTCTGTCCTATCTCTCCACTCTCTCTTTGTTCTTTCTCTCTAGTCTCTCTCTGGTCTCTTTCTGGTCTCTCTCTGGTCTCTCTCTGGTCTCACTCTATGGTCTTTCTCTGGTCTCTCTCTCTGGGTTCTCTCTGGTCTCTCTCTCTGTTTTCTCTATTGTCTCTCTCTCTCTGTGGTTTAAATGTGTCTTTCTTTCATATTTTCAGAAAAATGAGAAATCATCACATTTTAAACATTTGTAGACTGTACCTTTTGCTGCTCATTGGTCTGGAGGAGAAAACATAGAAAAAACAGAAACATAAAGGTCAGAGACGATAGCAACGCGTATACATAAAAAAAAAAACAGTGTTCTTTACTTGTAGAGACTTCGCCCTTCAATCGTCTCCAGGTTCGAGAACACAGACAGATCCGACATGTTCTCGGGCCACGACTGGATGCTCAGGATGTCTGAGAATAATATTGTTAAAAATAAATCATAAGTGACTAAAGTTATGTCACACACTGGTCTATCACAAAAACATTACTTCTGTGGTTTTTATTCTCTCTCACTGAAATCTTTTTGTGTCTCTTTCTGGCCGTTCTCTTCTCTTTCTGGTCTCTCTCTGATCAATCTCTGGTCTCTCTTTCTGGTTTCTATCTCTGTTCTCTCTTTCTGGTCTCTCTCTGGTCTCACCTGTTATTTCCCGAACAGTGTTGAAGATCTTCAGTTTCTCAGGATCAAGTGGAGGAACTTTGTTGAAATTATCACTAAACAAGAAGAATGTGAATTAATCATAAAAGCTACATCTTTAACACCAGAAATCCAAAGCAGTCAGTTTGACAGATTTTCCTTTTGTAATTATGAGGTTTTTCAGTCTTCAGAACTTTGTGACTGACTCTGTTTCTAAATGTAGTTTATGTTATTATTGTCATTATTTCTATTATTATCTCGATTTTGGACTGGTCCTAGACTGGTACTGGACTGATTCAGAGCCATCTCAACTTGAAGCAAGCGTTAGTTACCATAGCAGCACACTGTTTACTTTTTTCATTTAAAAAAAAATATATATATAGTGCTTATTTTTGATAAATGTAGTTAAACTTTTACCATTTCTATAACCTTGAATGGGGTTAGTTTCAGAAATGTAAGAGTCTTCAGTTAAAACAAAGAGAACATAAAGAACATCGAGAACGTAGTAAACATAGAGAGTCCTTAAAGCTAGAATACCAAGAGAGCATTACCCCTGGATCCCGGTGATCAGGAAGTGCAGGCTGCCCTGGATCGTGGTGCAGTTGATGAAGCTGTCAATGTTTGCGGCATCCACCGTTTGTCGATCTGGGGTCCCCGTACCGTGACACGCTGCAAACACAAATACACAAAAACAGTTACAGCTTGTTGGAAAAGTGTCCTCAGTCAATCAGCCAATCAAAACCGCCTCTAAATCTTGCTATTGTTACTCCACTGTTTTACCAATAAGAAAGTCTGTGATCCGGGTTGCCAGAACTCACTGCGTCAAGCTAATCTCACTGGTAAAGTAACATGTGGCCACACAACTATAAAGGAATAAAACCAGGATTTCTATCTTTGTGAAAAAGGTGTTGGTTTTAGATCTGTTGTTGACAAAAGTTTTTATTCCGATATTATGGTCCCAGCTGGATTTGTCTGCATATCAGGCAACCTGAGTCAGGGAGAGTGCAGTACCGCTTTTGGCCAGATTTTTACATACTGCTCCTTTAATGTAAGCATAAAAAAATCTCTCCCAACCATGGATACATATACAGTATGATAAAGTAAGAAGTAAAGCATTCACATGCTTTTCGCTCCTAGCTTCTCTGTTATCCTCTGCGCCTCTCTCACATCTGCACACACAGCGTTCAGTGTGTAAACTTGTGAAGTGTGTGTGTGAAATTCTAACTTTCTAAAAATGATTTTGTAACTTCAGTCAGTCCAGATGGAGAAATCACATAATAGTCTGTTGGTGTGATGAAAAACTAAGGACGAGTAGGAGTACAAAACACAACACCTTGAAATGCCTGCATGTGGCACTGTTGCACTCACAGTTGTGTGTAGTATATTGTTGTGTTCAGGGTACATTAAAAAGAGTGAAGATATAATCCCTCAGTTGTTGTTTTTAACCTGGATTTGAACATTGAGAATAAGCCTGTCTCACATTTTCAGGAAGACTGTTTTAGATTCTAGCTGAATGAAAAACATTTGTATCAGTTATCAGTGACATCAGTGTTTACCTTTAGGACAGAGACCAGCACAGGCCTGGCATCTCTTCTCTCCGTTCTTTTGGGCCTCCATGGTTCCAGGAGGACAGCTCACCACACACGAGCTACCGTCCACCAGTAGTTTAGCTGCGACCAAAGAGAGAGCACACAACCTCAGTCCTGGATCTACAGACTTAGTCCTGGATCTACAGCCTCAGTCCTGGATCTACAGCCTCAGTCCTGGATCTACAGCCTCAGTCCTGGATCTACAGCCTCAGTCCTGGATCTACAGACTTAGTCCTGGATCTACAGCCTCAGTCCTGGATCTACAGCCTCAGTCCTGGATCTACAGCCTCAGTCCTGGATCTACAGCCTCAGTCCCGGATCAACAACCTCAGTCCTGGATCTACAGCCTCAGTCCTGGATCTACAGCCTCAGTCCCGGATCAACAACCTCAGTCCTGGATCTACAGCCTCAGTCCTGGATCTACAGCCTCAGTCCCGGATCAACAACCTCAGCCCTGGATCTACAACCTCAGTCCTGAATCTACAGCCTTGGTCCTGGGTCTATAGTCTCAGTTTGGGACAAAAAGGCAGTAATCACATGGTCAGAAAGAGAGACCATGACAGACCTGAGAGACAGGAGAGAAACCACAAGTTTAAGCCCAAAATGGTACGTGTAAGTTGGACCCAGGGCCGTAATGCGGTAAGGGAAGAGCGTCCCTGCTGGATACTCACAGGGGCACTGGGCCACACAGATGGAACCGTACTGGTACTTGGCGTTGGGATTGGCCTCCATCCTGAAGGTGTTTTTGTTGTAGAGTAACGCCTGAGGACACTCACGCACACACGAGCCAGAGTTATTGAACCTGCGGCAGGCCTGCGGACACACACGTATCGTTAGGCTACACGTTAGCTTACACCGTTAGCATACAACACTGTAGCTCTCAAATATAGGTGAAGAGAACTGACAGGTCCCATTCCACATCAGCATTATCTACATTCAAGACTCTTTAATTCATCTTGTGGCTCAGTAGGTAAGAGTAGAAGTTTAAAAACATTTCCAGTGACCCCCTGCTGGGGAAGTCTGGTAACAGCACTATCCTCTTACTACTTTATCTGTAATCGTTATGACTTCAGCTGTAGTCTGTTCATTGTTATTCAACCACTGTCCAATTGTCTGTTTCTTGTAGCTTGAGTCCTGGATCTATAGGCCGTCCGTCCGTGTGGAGCCGATCCCTCTCTCAATGTGGTTCTCCCTGAGGTTTCTCACTTTGATCCAGGACAGTCAACAGCTATGGACATTGGTCAACTCCTCCCATCCCCCTGCCCTCCACCAAACCCTACTCCCAGCACACATGAACGCTGTTTCTGTAATAACGCAGTCAGTGACGAAGCCTTCCAGTTTGAAATGTGAAAGCATCACCCTAATCTAGACTTGACAAGTGCTAGCTTCCCCTAACAAACTAGCAATTAGCAAAACTCGACTGCCGTTGCAATATAGCCCTGGCTGCATCCCGAGTCTTCTTATACAATGCCTGAATATCGCTTCTTTCCAACAACAGGGCGAGTGGGTGGCAAACGTGAAAATGAGGGTTTTTCATAGGTGTTTTAGAAAATCTTACTCAATAAAAACTCAGACATGTTGACAAAAATCAGGAGGGGGATGAACACAGTCCTGGATCTATCTGTAGTATGTGTGTGACTCACAAAGCAGTGTGTGTCCAGGGGCCCGGTGCATCCTCCCGCACACTCGTTATGGCAGCACTCACTCGGATTGCGGCCGAAACAGCGACCATTACACTGAGGCGCACACACGGTTTTAGTCACTGAGAAGAAACACAACATCGATTTACAAGAGAAAACAACAACAATATTTTGAACTTTTCTGGACACTCAAAGACGCTTCACACGTCATTATTCTTTCCCATCACAGTACTATCCAGGCCCTGCCCTGCTTTGCTCAGTGATATACTCACAAATTTGACACTTGGACGCTTCTGGACCCCAACACGGAACGTCCCCACAGGAACCAGCACACGACTCTGGAAAAACAGATATATCTGAGAAAAAATCATGATAATAATGAAGCTTCCGACGACTATTTGTGATTATATTCTCTATGATCTTTATAAAGACCCTGTTTGATGTGTGCATCACCCAAGTCTCTTGTTTCTCCTTTTTCTGCTGTAATGCAACAATGACTTTTTCACTGAGGAACCAAGAAAAGACTGGAGTACCTTTTTACTCTCAGGACTGTAAACTTGCACTGCTATAGTCACTTTAAAGGTGCAGTAAGCGATTTTGGAAGCTTTGCCAAAGAACCCATAGACATATAAAGAGAGTAGACGTCTACTCTTTATATGTCTATAGTAGCACCAACTTTAAACCACTCCCTCCTCTCGCCTCTCCACCAAACAAAACATCCAGAATTGTCTTTTTTTTGTCACAACAGGGAGAGTGGGTGGCAAACGTGAAATTTGCGCTGTCTGTTCAGTCTTTTTAGATTTTAGAAAATCCGATAACTCATTGGTTTGTTGGGGATGAACGGCCCCGCTCCAAAATGTTTTTTATTAATTTTTGGAGACTATAGCATTTGGTCAATTTCCATTACTATGAAAACACATGAAAACTTGACTGCTTTTAGGGTTTAGGGATGTTTTCACACAATATTAAAAAAAAATGTGTCTGGAAAAAATCACTGACTGCATCTTTAATTTAATTTGTTCACAATACATCTTTTAATTTCTAAACATGTTTGCACATTTCCTGTCTTTTGTACACCCTGAGTGAATCTGTTAATGCCATATGAGACATTGATCAATAAAGTCTATCTTATCTTAAATGATTTGGTTTGTTTCCACAGAGAGCATTTCAATGGAGACAGGGCACAGGCAGTGTTTCCATGGAGACAGGGTGTTGCTGTCACTCACTCTCAGGTCCGTTGTCTTGGATCATGATCTTTGCGCCGCTGTCCTTCACGATGTCCAGCCAGTTCACCCCCGGAGCGAAACTCAGATACTTGTTCTTGATGATCTTCACTCCTCCCTCCAGGATCTCTGTACACACACACACAGATGCAGACACACACACACACACACACACATCTTGAGCATCATGGATCGAGTTGGAACAGGCCCACGGTTCTTTGGGATTTATTACTTTCACCGATGTGTCCCTTCTTTCTGCAGTAACTTAGAGAATACAACACAAACTCTAAGATTCTGCTTCACTTTTATCACTGCAGAGAGAGACCAGAGACCAGAGAGTGACCAAAAAGAGACCAGAGAGAAACCAGAGATAGACCAGAGAGAGAGACAGAGACCAAAGAGACCAGAGAGAGGCAGAGACAAGAGAGACAAGAGAGACAAAAGAGAGACCAGAGAGAGACCAGAGAGAGGCAGAGACAAGAGAGACAAGAGAGACAAAAGAGAGACCAGAGAGAGACCAGAGAGAGACAAGAGAGAGACCAGAGAGAGAGACCAGAGAGAGACAAGAGAGAGACCAGAAAGAGACCAGAGAGGGAGACAGAGATCAGAGAGAGATCAGAAAGTAAGTAAGTAAGTAAGTAAGTAATGTTTATTTATATAGCGCATTTTACAGACCAAGGTCACCCAAAGCGCTTTACAATGTTCAGAGTTCAGATATTGTTCCAATCATTCCACACACGGTGATGACAGAAGCAAGTCGCCAAACACACTGGTGCATCAGCCCCCAACCATCACCATCCATTCACTCTCTCATTTACATTCATAGCTATTGTACATGTTTTTAGTGGTAGGGGAAACTGGAGCACCCGGAGGAAACCTACGCAGACACGGGGGGAACATGCAAACTCCACTCAGAAAGGCCCTATTCCGACCGGGATTCGAACCCAGGACCTTCTTCCTGAGAAGCGACCACCATGCCGTCAGAGAGAGTCCAGGGAGAGACCAGAGAGAGAGATAGAGACCAGAGAGAGACCAAAGAGAGACCAGGGAGAGAGGTTCTCCGCTATGAAAGAGGACTGGGAGCTGTCTGTTCTGGAGGTTCTTTATGAATGCAGATTCTTAAATAGAAATATCTTATTAGAATTATCAATGACTCTTCTGGCTCCAGGAGAAGCCATGATCTCGTAATGAAGCTGTTTTTATTGATTGGTTTCACAGTGATGATTGTTGATCTACTTTTCAGCTTGTTGTATGTATTTACTTGTCTCCAATGTTTTATTTATTGCAAATAAGCTGAATTTGAGTCGGTGTCATTGACGGTTGGAGGAAAGGTGACGGTGTCTGAGCACATTTCTCAGCAGGGAGTGTCCTCAGGGAGTGGGCGGAAAGACAGTTACAGTCACTGAGACAGAGAGACACAGAGACACAGATACAGAGTCACAGAGACACAGAGAAAGAGAGACACAGAGTCACAGAGAAAGAGAGACTGCAGACACAGGCCACAGAGTCACAGAGAGTCACAGAGACACAGAGACACAGAGTCACAAAGAAAGAGAGACTGCAGACACAGGTCACAGAGTCACAGAGACACAGAGAAATACAGAGTCACAGAGACAGAGAGACACAGAGACAGAGTCACAGAGACACAGACACAGACACAGAGTCACAGAGACACAGAGTCACAGAGACACAGAGACAGAGTCACAGAGACACAGAGAGTCATAGAGACACAGAGGGACACAGAGACATAGAGACAGAGAGACAGAGAGACACAGAGAGTCACAGAGTCACAGAGACACAGAGACACAGAGAGTCACAGAGACACAGAGAGACACAGAGACATAGAGACAGAGAGACACAGAGAGTCACAGAGTCACAGAGACACAGAGACAGAGAGACACAGAGACACAGAGACACAGAGACAGAGAGACACAGAGACACAGAGACACAGAGTCACAGAGACACAGAGACAGAGAGACACAGAGACACAGAGACAGAGAGACACAGAGACACAGAGACAGAGAGACACAGAGACACAGAGACAAAGAGACACAGAGACACAGAGACAGAGAGACACAGAGACACAGAGACACAGAGACAGAGAGACACAGAGACACAGAGACACAGAGTCACAGAGACACAGAGACAGAGAGACACAGAGACACAGAGACAGAGAGACACAGAGACACAGAGACACAGAGTCACAGAGACACAGAGTCACAGAGACACAGAGACACAGAGACACAGAGACACAGAGTCACAGAGACACAGAGACAGAGAGACACAGAGACACAGAGACACAGAGACACAGAGACACAGAGTCACAGAGACACAGAGACACAGAGTCACAGAGACACAGAGACAGAGAGACACAGAGACACAGAGGCACAGAGACACAGAGACACAGAGTCACAGAGACACAGAGACAGAGAGACACAGAGACACAGAGGCACAGAGACACAGAGACAGAGAGACACAGAGACACAGAGACACAGAGACAGAGAGACACAGAGACACAGAGTCACAGAGACACAGAGACAGAGAGACACAGAGACACAGAGTCACAGAGACAGAGAGACACAGAGACACAGAGTCACAGAGACACAGAGACAGAGAGACACAGAGACACAGAGACACAGAGACACAGAGACACAGAGACACAGAGACACAGAGTCACAGAGACACAGAGACACAGAGACACAGAGACACAGAGGCACAGAGACACAGAGACACAGAGTCACAGAGACACAGAGACAGAGAGACACAGAGACACAGAGGCACAGAGACACAGAGACAGAGAGACACAGAGACACAGAGACACAGAGACAGAGAGACACAGAGACACAGAGACACAGAGTCACAGAGACACAGAGACAGAGAGACACAGAGACACAGAGACACAGAGTCACAGAGACAGAGAGACACAGAGACACAGAGACAGAGAGACAGAGAGACACAGAGACACAGAGACACAGAGACAGAGAGACACAGAGACACAGAGACAGAGTCACAGAGACAGAGAGACACAGAGACACAGAGACAGAGAGACAGAGAGACACAGAGACACAGAGACACAGAGACACAGAGTCACAGAGACAAAGAGACACTGCGCTTCACTTTAACGTGTTGATGCCAAATGATGTCACACGATGTAGTGGATAGTTGGGTTAGGACCAGATCATCCTCCCCCTCGTTGTGTGCTCTCTCCTCCAGGGCCCTGTGATGTGTGATGCGATTGTGTGATGTCATTGTCTGATGTGATGTCATTGTCTGATGTGATGTCATTGGACTGCTATGACATGAAAAGATTAAAACAAAAGTATTGTCCAGAAATTAGACACAACTCTAGCACTGTGACTGATTAGAAACAATGGTTATCGTGGATCCCTCTTGGTGAGACTCTGGGGAGCACAGGGACTGGTCTCCTGCTGGGACTCTGAGGAGCACAGGGACTGGCCTCCTGCTGGGACTCTGAGGAGCACAGGGACTGGCCTCCTGCTGGGACTCTGAGGAGCACAGGGACTGGTCTCCTGCTGGGACTCTGAGGAGCACAGGGACTGGTCTCCTGCTGGGACTCTGAGGAGCACAGGGACTGGTCTCCTGCTTAATGTACTGTTACACATTTTTATTTTATTTTAGTTCCTTGTTGATACTATCTTCTTTGTTCAGGCCTTTGAGTTTCCTTGTGTATGACTGTGCTATACCAATAAATTGTACCTGTGAGGTGGGTGAGTCCCAGCTCCTGAAGCCCCCGCTGTCCGTCCTTCTGGTAATTGATCATCACAGCTAAAGCAAATTGGTCCTCATACAGAGAGCTGCCCCGTATCACCCGGAGGTGATCCAGCGGCAGACGGCTGAACTCATTCAGAGCCACAAGGATGTGACCGGTCACCTCCCGGATGGACTGCAACACAACACACGCACGCACACAAAACACACTTTAATAATAATAATATAATGATAATAATAAATAAAGCAGCAATGAAAGCCCTCACTCTCACGACCGCCGCCCGGGCGCCAGTCCCATAAGTGTAATGCGTCGTACTTGCCGATGAATTAGCAGCCTGATCAAACCACGATTACGCTCAGAAGAGGTAAAGAATCCATTGCACCCCTAGTGGTCAACCATGGGACATGCATCCTCTGTCTAATTTAATATTTTGCTTGTGTGGATGAAACAATTCGACCCTGCAACTTTGGTGCAGATTGGAATATGTTTAGGTTCGAAGCCTCCCAAACGTGGCGCTCTAGAGTCCATAGTGAGTGTGTATTTTCACACAATTACGCTTATCACAGTTTTGAAAAAGTAATAATATAAATAGACCATAAAAAATGCATACAAAAATGTCTACCCTGATCTTGAACTCCAGCTGCATGACTCCAAGCGCAGAATTTAACCATCTACAGTGACAGAACCTCTGTGTTATTCAGCTACAGGTGCACCGGTGGTCAGTTTGGGTATTGAGGCCCTAAGGTCATAAAGGTGCACTTTTTAATAATCCCCGTAGGGCAATTCATCCTCTGCATTTGACCCATTCTGATGCCACTAAGGCTTACGTCAGGAGCAGTGGTCGCCGTAGAACAGCGCCAGGGAACCCTTCTCCAGATGTTGATGCTCGGCTTGGTCAGGATACCACAGCTGGAGGATTTAACCTAGTGTGCATGTTTTTTTCACATAAAACCCTGTGAAATTCACTCTTGCCTGGCATGAAAACGGTGATGATATTACTTAATCTGTCTAAATTGGGAAAGGTCATGGTAGAAGTCTGTATGATGAAATACCAAGGACAAGTACAATTCAAATATTGAAAACGAAAATTGGTGGCGAAACCTCAGACCATCATTGCCGACTTCCTGTTGGTCACAGAGCGATGCTCCAACAGAGTTTTGGGCTCGTGTCAAAGAGATTTATCACTCATCTGAATATTGTGTACTTAAATAAACGTGTTCTCTAAAATATGCATGTCTGCCTCCGATAGGCTTTGCAAGTTTGAATTTTTCAAGGGCAAACTTGAAACATTTTATTTTATATATCAAACCCCCATGCCAACATTCGTGCATGTCTTCAGGGTCAAAAATCAAATCCTTTCGGCAAAAAATATTATGAAACCAATGAATAACAATAGCCTAGGCCTAACCCTAACCCCACAATTATATTTGTAATTAGTTTTATAATTCCTTTTTTTTGGGGGGGGGGGGACACACACAGTGTGTGCACTTGTGTATATGTGGCAGAGATAGTGTTGTGTGTCTTTTGATAAGATAAGAGATCCTTTCCTCACACAGTGTGGAAATGTTGGAGTGCACATACAGGACAGTAGTAAGAGCACCCAGGGAGCACACAACATCAACAATATAAAAGCTGCTATGTTTTTTAGCTAACTGTAAATGCTTCAAAATTAATATATTGAGATATAAGGCAAGAAAGCTGTGGTGTTTGACGTGGAAATTCCAAGCAGGAGCTGGAGATGGTGAAGGTAGTGCCCATGGAGATCGGTGCACTCGGGGCAGTGACCCCAAAGCTGGAGGAGTGGTTACAGCGGGTCCCTGGAACAACCTCGGAAATCTCGGTCCAGAAATGTGCGGTACGTGTATAGTTTTGTAATAGTGCAGTGTGTGTGTGTGTGTGTGTGTGTGTGTGTATATATATTGTGTGCCACCTGCAGAAACGAGAAGTCCCGGTGGTGTTCCATCATAGTGATCTCTAAGTTTCCCATTACGATCTCACAGCCGCTGTATCTCTCCTTCATCATGTTGAACTGAATGTCAGACTTCCCTGTGGTACTCAGGCCGTTTTGTGTCCCCATACACACTGGAACACAAACATACACACAATTAACATACTGGGAATGACACAAAAGCACACTAAACTGGTGATATCTTGAAAAATAAAATCACAACTACAGTTCAATTCAATGTATTTGTTTATCACCCTAAAATACAACAGCAGTCATCTCAAGGACTTTACAAAGCTGTCGATTGGCCAAAAAGAGATCAGAGAATGACACAGTTCAAATGCAATAATAACAAACACATAGAGACATTGGTCCATAAGGAGAGGGACTGAGGCTGAAGGTCCAGGACTGAAACTAGATCCAGGACTGAGACTGTGGACCCAGGACTGAGGCTGTAGATCCAGGACTGAGGCTGTAGATCCAGGACTGAGGCTGTAGATCCAGGACTGAGACTATGGTCCCAGGACTGAGGCTGTAGATCCAGGACTGAGACTATGGTCCCAGGACTGAGGCTGTAGATCCAGGACTGAGGCTGTAGATCCAGGACTGAGGCTGTAGATCCAGGACTGAGACTATGGTCCCAGGACTAAGGCTGTAGATCCAGGACTGAGGCTGTAGATCTAGGACTGAGACTGTAGTGAAGTGTCATGCCCACAGACACAGCAGCAGCATTCACCAACCTGCAACTGCAACCTGCAACCTGCACTTGCAACCCAAAGCCTGTCCTGAAGACAGAGGAACTAACCAGCTATGTACTAAAATATGCTGATGTGTACGTGGTCTCTCTCTGGTCTCTCTCTCTGGTCTCTCTCTGGATTCTCTCTTCTCACTTTTTTCCCTTTTCTCTGACAAAGCTGATGTGCATACATGTGAAAACTAGTGATAAAACCAAACTGTTTTAGAGTTTTACATCTGCTCATTAAAGTCAATGGGCTTCTGTCTCTGGTCTGAAACCAGTCTGTCTTCACACTGTGTTCTGTGTTTTGGACCCGAGTCAAAGGCTACTCTGTAAGAGGATGAAGAGGCTGAGTCTGTGTGAGAGAGTCTGTGTATGGCGCGCAGTGGGAGCTGCATTTGTTATTCAAATGAGAGACTGAGGCGTTGGAAGAATGGAAATATAACACTGAAATACAGGACTGCAGAGAATGCCCTCCATAAACAACATGTGATTTTGAATCTATCAAACTCAGAGGCGGAGGATTCTATGGATCTGGAATCACTGTCTACTGGACGTTTGGACACTTCAACAAATTACCTTATGTTTCCAAGAAAAAGTTCTGTGTCAAGACAAGTTTAAAATTCAATTCGTTTCAATATATTTGAATCTCGTCCTAAATCACAACAGCAGATTCACATCACATCAGAGAACCAAACGGTTCACGCACAGGAAATGCAATAAAAACAAACACATAGGGAGGCTGTCGATCCAGGACCACTGTCATGAATAATAAAGCTGGGGTTAGGTACCACAGCTTTATTATTCCACAACAAATAATACTAAAAATAACCATGTAATGCATTCCTCGCTCTCAAAAAGTTTGGTTCGATCACTAGTTTTCATATCCCCAAAACCCCTGCCCCCTCGTCCATAAACAGCATTAATCACATATAAACAGGTCATCTGTCGCTCTACTGTTCACATAAACACACTGAAGCAGGAATATGTGCCACAGCATCATCTCTTGGACAAGTTCCTTTCCTACACCCAGGGGGCGCTCTGACTAAATACAAATACATTTATTACCCACATAGTCCAGTACACTGATGTTGGAAAGTTTTAATAACCAGAGAAATAAGAAGTTGCAGATGATTAACCGAGCAGAGCGTGAGACCTGAGGATTCTGGGTAATAAACTCCTGATAAGAAGTTCACAAGACACTGGTTGTATCGGAACTGTTTCAAGGTCCAAGTATGAGCCAGGACGACAGAGAGGAACACAGAGGAACACAGAGAGGAACACAGAGACACAGAGAGGAACACAGAGACACAGAGAGGAACACAGAGACACAGAGAGGAACACAGAGAGGAACACAGAGACACAGAGAGGAACACAGAGAGGAACACAGAGACACAGAGAGGAACACAGAGAGGAACACAAAGAGAGACACAGAGAGGAACACAGAGACACGACACAGAGACACAGAGAGGAACACAGAGACACGACACAGAGACACAGAGAGAGACACAGACAGGAACACAGAGACACAGAGAGGAACACAGAGAGGAACACAGAGACACAGAGACACAGAGAGGAACACAGAGAGGAACACAGAGACACAGAGAGGAACACAGAGACACAGACAGGAACACAGAGACACAGAGAGGAACACAGAGAGGAACACAGAGACACAGAGAGGAACACAGAGAGGAACACAGAGAGGAACACAGAGAGGAACACAGAGACACAGAGAGAGACACAGACAGGAACACAGAGACACAGAGAGAGACACAGAGACACATAGACAAAGAGAAACAGAAACAAACGTGTCAAGGCTACTACTACTGCAACTACTACTACGACTACTACTGGTACTACTGCTACTACTACTATTACTAATAATACGGCTACTACTACTACAACTACTGCTACTACTGCTGTAACTACTGATGCTGCTGCTGTTACTACTACTTCTACTACTACTGCTGCTGTCACTACACCTACAGCTGCTACTACCACTCAGATTTCTACTACTACAACTACAACAGCTACTACAACCACTACAACTATACTGTTACTGCTCTTACAAGTATTGCTACTGCTGCTGCTGCTGCTGCTACTGCGTGAGACCGGGAGGATTCCATAAACTTGTGATTAAAAATTCCAAAGACAAAACTTTGTATCAAAATTGTAAAGTATCAGCAACAGAAGAATCAAACTGAAAATGTGAAGAATGTTTGGAATTGGAACAATGTAACATTGGGTTCACTGCAAAGAATTGCCCTACTACTACTACTGCTACTTCTAATACTACTACTACTACTACTGCTACTTCTAATACTACTACTCCTGCTACTGCTGCTACTACTAATACTACTTTTTTATATATATATATATATCCTTGCCCGCAGTAATTGAGTGAGAAAAAAAGCTATGCCTCACGGTTGACTCTGGCCTGGTCTTATTGCCAGAGAATCCCGCCTCGCTTCCCTGAACAGGTGGACTTAGAGGTGCGAGCTCCTGGGGATGTGACCCTGACTACTACTACTACTACTACTGCTACTACTAATACTACTACTACTGCTACTACTAATACTACTGCTACTGCTAATACTACTACTACTGATACTGCTACTACTACTACTACTTCTACTGAAGAAAATGACAAAGTCTGGGATCGTGTCTTTAATGATTGACGATCAATGCACACAATGCAGCATGAACAAAGATGTTACAGAATGCAAGTCACATTATTCAGCATGGAGGAATGAAGTCCTCCAATCAGCCATCGCCACCAGTAGCTTCAACCTTGAGTAACCAAAACATGCAGCGGAAAAGTACTGCCTTGTGCATATTGTTAGAATGATGAGTTTAACTTTAACCACAGTTGTTTCAAAGTGTCATGAAATCTCTAAACTACTACTACTGGTACTGCTACTACTAATACTACTACTGTTGCTACTGCTACAACTGCTCCATGTGTTTGAACTGTGCTACATGAATAAACTTGCCTTTCTCATGTGGAGGTAGTTTCCGCTGCGTGGGCTGAGTTTACCCTCGTCATTCACAGTTGGAGGATTTCCTAAGCGCTCATTCACAGGTTCTGAATCAACACTCACTGATAACGCAGAGTAAAGGTGCTCCATAAACACAGGTCCTAAAACCTGCTCAGCGTTTCACAATTCAGGCCAGAGTGAGGGAAAGAAACCCTAACGCTAACCCTGACCCTGATGTTTACAAAGATACTATTATAGATCCTGCTGTAGCCTGTAGCATCAGGGAAAGCACTGAGAAACATGTGGTGTGCTGTACATGGACAGTGGACTTTAGTCATCGTCATCATCAAAACCAAATCTCGCTTTGTGTGCGGAGCTTCCCACAAAAGGGGGCTTTACTGAATCAATTAATGCACCAATGAATAGATAATGTGACGTCATATGCACATATCAGTTGTGATTTATTCACTGGTGTCACGAATTAAAGCTATCATCAATTATTGTATTTACTACATGATTGTTAGCAATCCAATTCTCCGATATCAAATTAATAACTTGAAAGTATAAAGGACGTTTTCCCCAAATTTTAGAAAAAGTAAAACTATATACTCTGCACATATTCACAATATAAAATCATTCTCATCAAAGTGCTTAAATAGACATCCAGGCCTTGAGATTAAGCTTTGTTTGATATTTTACAATACAATGAGTTAACAAAAGTTTGGGGGAAAAAATGACACTAACTGTGTGGAATTTTTTTTGGAAATTCCACTCTCAGCCCAAAAAGTCAAATAATGACTCACAGGGCTCTTAAGTATGCAAAATAAGCTTTAATGAGCTTTAATTTCGGGAGTTTTGGTTGCACCACACGGGAGAGACATGGGAGATGGTCCTGAACACGTGTTCATGGTTCTGTCCACACATTTGTCCCTACATTCAAGGAAAGTAACTTCTAAGTAATGCAGCAGTAGTGTAATTCAGAGACAGTAATGTTTTAACAACACATTACTTTGAAATAACAGTAACAAGTGACACATTATTTATTAGGTTTTTAAAATAACTTGTTGAAAAGAGTAGTCTGTCGTGAGCACAGACCAGTGTCTCTCTTGAACACTGTGTCTCTCTGGGACTGAGACAAAGACAAAGGACTCACAGCTGTGATGTTTGAAACTGGATGAGTGGGTTTTCTGCGGCACACACAGCCTCAGTGTGAGCAGATGATGGAGCAACACTCACAAAGAGACTGTTGCAAAAACTCTGCATTCTAAACGTGTCAAAGACTGAACTAAAAGTAACATCTTTTATGGACGCAGTGTCAAAGGTTGGAGTCACAGAACGAGGAGGTTTTTGAGATTATGAGTCGACTGTTGTTATGAAAGTCTGCTTATAGATTGCATTCAAATGTTATATCAGGATCTGTGGT